AAAAAAAAAAGCAACATGTTAGCTTTTGGGTTCTTGGGGTTCGAGTTGCTAAATTTCAGATTTTGGCAAAATTATAAAATAATACAAAAGGTTTGGACTTTATTAAGAATCATCTATTCAATACAAGAAAAAACGTGCTTCACATTTTCTGAATTTAAGGAGATGCTTTTGATAGGAACGTTATTTATTTATTTTAAGTTTTCATGTTAGATTTGAATTCTGCTTATGTAGCTTGGTATTTGTGGGAATAATTTAGGGAATTATCTTTTGCATAAATTTTCTTTTTATCAAAATTTATGGTTATCTTAAAGGATGCTGATATCTCAATATGGGACTTCTTGTTTATATTTTTGGCCACTTAAATGTCTTTCAATTCAGTAACTCTAATGTTCTTTGCTGCAGATTCAGCTAGATTATCACTATAAATGTATTATGACAGCATAGAGAAAGTTTTTCTAGACGTAAGTTTGGATTTTGAATTATAGTAAAGTCTGAAAATGTGTTAATCAGACTTGTGTGTGCTGTAAAAAAAAGGCTGCAAAATTATTGAGTTGGAATAGATGGAAGAAATACATTCTCAGTCGGATCATTACAGATCCTCATCATCTTCGGCTAGCAGTCCCGCAAGTAGGGTGCCTTCGAGCAATTTCTTCTACTTAAGAAAACCGGGTGCGCTTAGACAGCCCATTTCATTTGAGGATTCACCGGACTGGGATGATACGGATATCGAGGTTAAGGTGGAGGAAGGAGGAGGTGACTCCATTAATGCTGCAACTACTCCAGCCTCCCCTTCTCTCTCAAAGATCAATAGTGGGTCACTGCCATCCCCACCATTGCCAGAAGGTGCTGTTGTTGCAAGAAAGATCGCAGGCGCGTCGGTTGCGTGGAAGGATTTGACCATTACCATAAAGGGAAAACGGAAATATTCGGACAAGGTTGTTAAGAGTTCCAATGGTTACGCATTGCCGGGAACAATGACAGTGATTATGGGCCCTGCCAAGTCGGGGAAATCAACACTCTTGAGAGCACTTGCAGGTTCATTGCTTCCAATCCAATACTATTACTAGTAAAATGGACGGGTTCACCTTTATTGCTTTATGTCTGTTTGGCTGAACCAATATAACATTTGTGTCCTCTTTCTAATTTAGGAAGGTTGCCTGATTCAGCAAGAATGTACGGCGAGGTACATATCAATGGGGTAAAATCGCACATGCCATATGGATCATATGTAAGTCCCGTTTGTTTGCCACTTTGAACCACAGTTATTGATAAATTACCGTCCTCTAGATCTAGTGTATCATTGTATTGATTAAAATTGCTTTGAGAAAATTTTTCTTTTGTGCTATTTTCCATGGTCATTAACAAAATGAAGGACTCCATTATTGAAGTTAGAAAGTTGAAAATAGATTATAAATATATAATTTTGTAGAAGATGCTTCTCAAAATGATACTTAAAAACTCTGATGCTCGGACTCTTCGAAATAGTAGGAATATCTGTGTCGGAAACGACACGATATGGGTATTGGTATGAAATATGTATCGGATCTTCAAAACTTGAACCGGACACTTCGCCCTTTTTGCTTTTTCTTTCTTTTTTTCTTTCCCCTTTTTGCTCTCTATAAACCTAGCGTCACCCTTGAGAAGGTGGAAAAGGGCGACAGCGCTATATTTTCCCTTCTTCTTCTCCTCCTTCCTTTTTTCTTTCCCTTTTCTTCTGTTTTTCTTTCTTTTCCTCTCTGTATCAATGATTTAGGTTTTTGTTTGTATAAATGAAAATGAGTTCAATATAGTGTTCCACTAAGTCCAAATTACAATCAAGTCCCCCATTTTCTATTTATATAACATTTAGTAATTAACTTTTCATAATTGAAAATTAAATCTCAAAATCTTATTTTATTCGTCTTAACCCCTTATTCAATACTCATTTCATTTTTTTGTGAACAATTGATTTTGGTTTATTCAGAATGATATCTTGAGTTAGTAAAAAAATTGAAACTTGAAAGACGTACCCAAGTACTTGTATTTGAAATTTGGACTTTTTTAACCATAACCCGGTATCCTACATTTTAAAAAATGAAAGTCCTGACACTTAGATACATTCTTGAGTACAATCATCATAGCTTGGAAATATTCTTGAACGTTCTGTCAATCAGCATTGATTTCTGTGTGTTCACAAGGCTATGCACATAAAATATTTCATATACACCATTGATTTTTCTACTCAAACAATTTGAGATACAAATATTCTAAGTCATTTGTGAAGCTGTCATGCTCAAACAATTTAGTCCATACATGAAAAAGTATTAGAGCTAGAAGCTTATAAATACTGTAAAACTTTCAACTGTTTTGAAATGGTTCAACTATAATGAAAATTCAAGATATAATAGTGGTGTATGGTGAAAATTCAGCTTGATTAATAAGTTAATGAGCAATTTTCATGATGTTTAGAATGATGTGTTCCATGGACATTTAATTTGTAAAGTCATCCTTGTATTTGAGTTGACACATTTGGTTTTAATCACTGCTAAGAGACTTGGTGAAAAAATGTCTGACATAAATCGTGCCTTTATAATTCTAAATCACAAAATACTTGGACTCGCTACGGCCCATAATCATCAAAGAATATCGTGCAGATGCAAACTGACCTCTGCATGCAATATTTACTTGAGAATGCACGTACTATTTTTTTTTT